GGATCATCATAGGAAGCAAGGTAGGAGTGGTAGGAAATTAGAGTAGTGGTTAGGAACAAAAAACCAGATGCTACACATTAATCTAAGAGTGATGGGTTTAAACAAAGAAATGACAGCTTCCTTGGTTGACAATACTCAAATCTGGTCCGTTGAGCAGGCATATTCCATGAGACCACCATTACCATTCCATAGCTAACTCCAATGGCTTGGAATCCATGAGGATCAAAATAAATAATCCATGTAAAGTGCATACACTGTCCTTAATGCATAATATTTGCTCAATAAACAATAGCAACCAGAGAAATAATTGCATACGTTGTGGCAGATTGGGCTTCCTGGGAAGCCCTAAATTGGAGATTAACATGCAAGACGTTTATTTGAGGTCCTCAGGATCCACACCTGGGGACGGCAAGGGACAGGAAGGAAGCAGAGTTGGGCAGAGAGAAGTTGATTCATCTTCAGCAAGTGTTGCAGCTGTCCCCACAGGGAAGCTGGGAAAGCCCTCCAGAGTTAGCTCTCCCTGCGGAGTCTGGACCTCTGGCCTCAGGGACCAACCAGTCATGGGATACAGGCTGTTCCATCAGAGGCAGCTCTCTCTAGCCTAGGGCGATTTCTGGAGAGGGTTAGCAGTTAAGAGCTGTCAGCAGTCATACTCCCAGCAACTGTGGGTATAATTCCTTCAGTCCTGAAAACCGGCCAGTGTGGCTCACAACAGTATCCTTTACATTGGTTGAAAAGAAAGACAATATGCCTGGCATTTCTCTTTTCTCTGGATTCCTCTCCAAATTCAGTCGTCTCACGAAGGACATTTCCCACAATTTAAAAAAACATGCTTTGCCACACTTTCACTTCATTTTCCTCCCTATTCATCACAACTAATTTTTCTTCTTTATTCCTTCCATGTATATGTTTCTGGACTTGGTTTGCTACCATAATTTACACACAATGCAGAGATTATGTGTCCTTTTCAAAAATGTGCTTTTCTTAATAGCTTCTCACCTTTTTAACCAACTTGACAAACAGCCTCAGGATATTAAAAATGATACATTTTCACTTGGAGAGAAATATTTAAAATGTAATTTGAATAGGTAGTTAAGCATGTTTCCCTGAAGGTGTTATCATTTGACGATTTGATATTTTAATATCAAATGTAAGTCCTTGACATGGCCTGCCCTTTCCCGAGGAGATGCATAAAAATAACATGTGTATCTGAACAATTTCCTAGCTGGAGCAGGTTTTATTTTGTGCCCCCAATTATAATTATCTCCACTGCATTGTAAAGAATGTGTTGTACAACAAATTCTCTATTAACAATCACAATGTGTACAAATTATCTTCATCCCAGAACATCTCAAGGGGCCAGGCTGTTTGTATATGATAACAGCTCATTGAGATCCAAATTATGGAAAATTAAAAGAAATGAATAGGAAACATACTGCTATTTTACCATCAGTTTTTAAAACGTATGTGTTGCAATTCAAATGTAAAGTAGGCTCTTTGAAACAATCTAGTCAGATGTAGGAGGAGCGGAGCGGGGAGAAAGAGCCGAGGAGGAGGGAAGGAATAGTACCAAGGGAAGTGCGAGGAGAAGTATCCTGATTTTTTGTCTCAGAAAAGAGAATTAGTGAATTAGAAAAATAAATAAAGACTCTTTTATGCTATTAAGAATAATTAACAATTGGATAAATAAGATTTAAATTTTTAAAAATACATGAATAAACTGTAATACTTTTAGTATTCTAAAATTTAATGTTTAATGAACTACAAATTTTAAAGACTGACACTAAAGTCTTTGCAGGTGAGGAAATCAACTCGATATTTAAGACACTGAGCTCCTAAGGTCCCCCTCCCTCATAATAAAGACATTAATTTCAATTTCCTTCTCAATTAACAAGGCCTTTATTTTTACATTAAATTTAAAGGTTAGAGTAAAATGACTGGATTTCACATATAACTAAGAAAGGATATGTAAATCAGATAAGTAACTCTGAGAAGTTACATGATGAGCTAAAGGCTATGTGAGTGGGAAAATTCCAATATAGGAAACAGAGAAATGTGGAGGAATGCTTACTAGTATTGGGCCAATCACTTTTCAGGGCCCAGGGAATACAGTAATAAGATTTTCAAAAAATGAGCATGACATGAGAATGAGGCTAATGAGAAGAGGCAATACAGACAAACAGGTCTCTAAATGTACTTTTTTTTTACAAGGTGGAAAAACAAACAGCAGATAAATGATATGTCTTTCAGTGCTCAGGAAGATGAAGAGAGATGTTTTGGGAGGAAAATTATGTATGAGGCAAGATTCTTTCATTCCTAAGAGATAGGAAAACCTTCCATCTCCACACATTTAAACAAAAACAGGCCTTTAATGTATTACGTAGCTCAAGATTCTTAGAAATAAGTGGCTTTAGGAGCAGCTGAATCCAGGTACTCAAAAGTCCTTATCAAGACTAAGACTTGTTCTTTTCATCTCTTGGCTATGCTTTGCTCTGTGTGGGCTTCCTTCTTAGCTTCATACTTCCTCTTGCTGGCAAAATAGATGTCAAGGCTTTTAATTTGCATTATACTCTCTTGGCAACTGCATGAGAAAGAACATTGCTTTTCTGTTCTTTTCATCAGAAGCCCCCAGTACTAGCTCTAAATGGACCAACTTGGATTAGTGTTCATTCCCAGGCAGAGGGAAGCCATTCCTGTGTGCAATGTTCACCTGGATCCCATAAACTGAGAGAATGGGAAAGTAGTACTTTCTCAAGGAAAAATCAGGGTGCAATAATTAGAAAATGGGACCAAAAGAGTACCTGTTTACTACCAAAGGGAAGAATAAAATAATTAAATCTGAATTCAGTGAAGCCTATTTGGGAAGAAAGGGAGGTAAACATTAAGTACCACCTTTCCTGGCGTTGACTCTATTCACTTTCACTCGGAAAAACTAGACCCAGGTTTTTAGAAGGGAAGAAGTGTGCCTAGAAAATATTTCTTCTCTTTTTTTTCTTTCCTTTCTAACCAATCCGCAGATAAGTCTTGTAGATAATGCATGCTGATAGTTTGTATTTTGTATTTGATGCTTTAGTTGACTGTATCGAAATTTTAAACTTCCAACCAATGACACTGAGTGGCATTATACTTGCCTCCACCTATAAGCTGTGGAGGACGGGAAGCAAGCAGAGAGGCAAAGGAGATTACAATGAAAGCAGCTCTTTTGCCCATTTCCTGTTTGCCTATTTCTGTTCCCCTCTAACCTTAAAAGGACCTAATTAAGGAATGTGATCACTAAGCAACTGAAACTAACTCACGACTTATGCTCTCCCGAATGCACACCATGCCTTGTCTAACCTGTTGATTCTTTTCCTAGATAAAAAGAAGACTAGCTCTCTTCCCCCAGTAGCCCCTCTAAGCAATGCTGCAGGCAGATCACTCAGGCAAGATAACATCTGAAGAGAAAGCCAGTCTGCACTCAATGGAGAGGCAGAACCCAACCTCCCGCCTTGATGATTCACTGAGATTCTTCCCCCTCCCCCCGCATTTTTCCCTTTAAAAACTGTCATGACTGAGGAGAATCTTCAGAGCTGGTCTCTGGACACAAGTCCACTGTCTCCCCAGATAGCCAGCTTTTCTGATTAAAGCAGCTTTCTTTTCTAGGGACATTTGCCTCTAGAATTATTGGCATGTGAGCAGTGAGCAGCTGAACCTATGTTCAGTGGTTACAAGATACAAAGAGCATAATAATGAGGGGCAATTGCAATTATCCTGAATTCCAGGCCACCTGAAAGGATAAGGGAAGAAAAGGAAGAAACAAGAAACAAAAACAAAAGCACACAGTCTAATGTGCAAGAGAAAGTCATCATAATCCTTTCTTATGATAACTTTAATTAATGGCTTTGTGGGGTTGTAACTTTATTTTTTCCCAGTTAGCTCTCTAATATGCATTTAATTTGATAAACAAAGTGTCCTACACAATGAAATACTTCTGTTACTGAGATGTCTGTGAGGCACCTAGCCTAGACGGAGACAATGTCTCCCCCCACTAACTTGATAAGGCTTGTTGACTTGATGCTACGTAAGGCAAAAATGTGTGATTCAGTTATGAAAAACATGAAAAAATTTAAAAACAACAACAGTATCTTAATGAGTAATAATAAATTAGGAACTGTTAATGAACAGGAATTTATTATAATTATTGACCATATCTTAATTTGTATGAATATAGGTGCCTCTAAGGTAAAGCTTCACTTGACAAGCTCAGTTAGAGTGACTTTCATAAGGGCAAGGAAGAATATATTTGTCTAAACTGTATCTGGCATAATCAAATGATTAAAATGGATGTGAAAGAGAAAGGAAAAAAGTACACAGATAAACCTGTGAGACTGATTGCTATTATGCAGGACTGCAGGTCTGACATGAGAACAAAGTGTAGGTGGTGCCCAGTGATTCACTCACGAAAACAGTTGAGAGCAAGCAGGGAATAACATTTATAACCCCAGATGCACGGATGTCAATTTCCAGAGCAAGGGTAATAAAGTAAACTTGAAATTTTGACACGTAATGATTTCTTTTATGAACTAATAAAATTATATACATATATTCATATATTTTATATATACATAATTTGTATGTGTTGAGAATGATCTTCAGACTGAAAAAAAAAGCATAACGAACATTATCGGTAAGAGGAACTTCCTATTATGTGTAGTTGGATGAATTATAGGAAAGCACCTGTTGAATTAAATGAGGCTACATTTCAGGCTACTAAAAAACCTGTGTTTGAAATTATTGTGCTGTTTTCGATGGTCTTGGTGCCACAAGGCTGCAAATAAACAGCGGTTCTTATTTTTTAAAAAGGACAGTAATTAGCTACATACAAACTTTAGACCTTAAAGCCTCAGGTGAATCTCAAGCACAATTTGATAATTATTAAAGAAGTGGGGCTCTCTGCTCTCCCCTCTTTGACAGACAGTTGCATCTTCTTGTGCAATACTGGCCACATCCCTGAGACAGTCATGAAGGTCAGAGTAAATCGATTTGTCCACATTGGATGCCTGGTCACCAAGATGCTTTTAACTCTGTCAAAATGGATATTGCACATCAATGACCCCTTCACTGACCTCAGCTACATAGTCTACATGCTCCAGTATGATTCCACCCATAGCAAGTTATGCCACAATCAGGCTGAGAATGGGAAGCTTGTCATCAACGGAAGGCCCATCTTCATCTTCTAGGAGCAAGCTTCCACCCACATCAAATGGGGTGATGCTGGTGCTAAATATGTTGTAGAATCCACTGATGTCTTCACTAACTTGGACAAGGTTAGGGCTTATGAAAGGATGGAGCCAAAAGGGTCATCCTCATCTCTGTCCATTCTGCTGATGTCCGCATGTTTGGGCATAAACCTTGAGAAGTATGACAATAACCTCAAGATTGTCAGCAATGACTCCTCTACCACCAACTGCTTGGGTCCTCTGGGCAAGGTCATCCATGATGACTTTGGCATGATGGAGGGACTCATGGCCACGGTCTATGCCATCACTGCCACCCAGAAGATCGCAGATGGCTGCTCTGGGAAGCTGTGGTATTATGCCTGAGGGGCTGCCCAGAAGACCATCATCCCTGCTTCTATGGGTACTGCTAAGGCTGTGGGCAAGGTGACCCCTGAGCTGAATTGGAAGCTCACTGGCATGGCCTCCCAGATCCCAGATCCCAGCTCCAATGAGTCAAGAATCTAACCTGTGGTCTGGAGAAAGCCACCAAATGTGATGACATTGAGAAAGAAGGTGGTGAAGCAGGCAATAGAGGGCCCCCTAAAGGGCATCCTGGGTTACATTGAGGACAGGCTGCCTCCTGCGACTTTAACAGTGATACTCCCACTTTCACCTTTGATGCTGGGCTGGCATTGCTCTCGATGACTGCTTTGTCAAACATTTCTTGTTATGACAATGGGTTTGGCTACAGCAAAAGGGTGGTGGGTTTTATGGTCCATATGGCTTCCAAGGAGTAAGAGATCCCTGGACCACCAGCCTCAGTGAAAACAAGATAAGGAAGAAAGAAGCCCTCAGTTCCTAAGGAGTCCTTGCCCCAACTCAATCCCCCAACACACTGAGAATATCCCATCCTCAACAGTTTCCATCCCGGAGCTCCTGAAGAAGAGGGAGAGGATTAGGGAGCCCTATCTGGTCGTGTTTCATCAATAAAGAACAATGTGCACAGTCAAAAAGGAAAGGAAAAAAGAAAAAAAAAAGAGATGGTCTGCAAACATTAGAAATGAAAGTGGAGATCCGCAGGAGCTAGGAGGAGTTTATAAAGGATGAGTCAGGTCAGACTAGCTTCATTCTCCTTTGGACAAAAATTCTAAAGAGGTGGCTTATGTTCATCTGGATTAAGCAAGGCATTTGGCACAGTCAAAACAGAAACATAACCTGGATAATCATACAGGGAAATAGATTCATAAGTGTCTAACAACCATATCAAAGATCCCAGTTACTGGACTGATTAATTCCTAGAGCACAATTTTCTATTGTTTATCAAAGGTCTCTCTTTTTTTTCTTTCTTTTTAAAAATAGCTACCACATTTGAGCACCTACTATGTGGTAGGCATTGTGCTAATCCCTTGACATGAATTTTACCCCCACAATAACCAAACAGATAGTTTTCAAATTTTACATTACCTAAATTGAAAGATTGGTCCAAGGTCACCAAGCTATAGTCAGGAAGTACAAGCTTTTCAAATATGCAAATTACATGAAGCTGGAGAAAGAACAAATATGTTGGACTCTAGAATCAGGCTCTAAAAGAATCTAAACTCATTAGTACATCAGATTAAATATGAAATTCATAGGTATTTTATTTGTTAACAAGCTCATTCTGAGTCAGGAGTGTTGACATGGCTGCTGAGAAAATGAAAAGATTCTGAGGTCTTACTGTAGGATAAGACTATCTGAAGAAAGGGAGGTGGTGTGCTTGTTTTTTTCAGTATTTTCAGTTCCAAAATCTATACCTTAATACCGGGTGCATCAATCAGGATTTTTTCCTTGTTAATGACAGAGACTCTGTAGGCAAGAAAGGAATTTTTTGGCTTACAGGGCTGAGAAGAGTTTTCAGGTAACCTACAAACCTGGAGAAAGAGCTGCTAGAACCTTGACTTGAGGGATGGAAAATAGGGTCTCAGAGAGAATTTCTCATCTCTGCTTATCACTGCTCATTTTGCATGCTGGTCTTACCCTCTGTTATTTCATACAGGTCTTCACCACTGTCAGGAACCATCACTATCAAGAGTCTCGGCTTAGCTGTTACAGTGGAAAGAGAAATCTGGCCCTATACCCTGATGGCAATCCCTGAGAAGAATTCTGTTTGGCCATGCTGTAGCCATATAGAAACATTTGTCCTAATCACTATTGTCAGAGAGATGGGGTAATATGGTTGGCCATGATTTGGTCATATGATCACTTTCTTGGCCAGTGGCTGCATAGGGTGTGGGGAAAAGCAGAATCTGTTACTAGAAGAAAGAGGATGAAGAGCTGGCTGAGCACATCACACTCGGTTTATTAACTTTGGACATGTTCTGAGAGGAACAGGGAAAGGGAAGAGAATTGAAACTCTGCACTACGAAGACCAGATGAAGAACCAGAGATAGTTACTCTTGAAAAAAGGAAAGTTCAGAGAAGACAAAAGGATTGCTAAAAAAGAAAAAGTAAACAATGTCTACATAGTTCAAGGGACAGAATCTGAACATCCTCATTGGAAGAAGGATTTCATTTTTAAGATGTTTTCAACTTTATGATATTTTAACTTTTAAAGCCAAGAGCTGTCCAAGATGTCTCTAGATGACATAGGAACTCTGTCATTTCCATTCTGAAGGCATAAGCTGTTTTACCACTTGACAGGGAAGTTGCAGATGTGTTATGAGTATCAGATGAATGGTTGGACTAAATTACTTTAAGTAAGAGAGAAGCAATGGCTAAACCTAGATTTTAAAGTCAAATATGAATACGAATCTAAGCTTTGGTACTTACTATTTATGTGAAGTTGGACAAACTGCCTACTCCCTTTTAGCTTCATTTTTAAAATGGAGATTATTATTACCTTGCAGGACTACTGTGAGTAGTGGCGATACCCTACAGAGAATTCCTACTTCATTGATAACTCTTAATAAATTATAGTTTATGTGTATAAATATGCACACACCACACACACACACACACACACACACACACACACATATATATATCCTGAGATTCTCTGACATCCTTTAAATATGGAAGCATGCCATACCCAAACCATAATAAACCCTTACATATGCACAGATCATGGTTATGCAAGTACCTGTGCTGTGTGTTTAGAATGAGAGAAAGACCAGGAATGCAAGGGCAGCTGAGTGCATATAGTAAGAACGTATCAAGAAAATGTATCAAAACTGTCCACCATCTTGGATTTACTGTCCTAAAATCCTAGCATCCCTTTGGTAGCTTTCAGAAAATTTGGATTAGAAAATAGGATCTAAACATGTGTTTCATGAGGTTTAAATGAGATGATATGTGCAAATTTGCTTAGAAAAATTCCTAGTACCCAAGGAATTTTATTACTGCTCAATAAAATTTATTATTTTCATTAAAGGTTTATCATACAGTCTCCTTCTACTATAATATGAGCTTCTCAAGACACAATTCATGTCATATTAATCTTTTTCCCAAGACTTTAGTATAATGCCTGGTGCTTTCTAGGCACTTACATAAAAGACAGGAAAAAAGGATTTGTGGTATCAAGAACTAAAAACACACGATGAGGCCACAAAATAAAAATTATGACACAAATCGGTGTGTGCATTTACATATGCAAGCTTGGAATAGATGTGAGAGAAATGAACTCTAATTGGTAATAGAAAAGGTGAAATACATGGAAAAACAAATGAGGGTAAGAGGTTCAGAGGATAAAACTAACAGGCAGAAGTATGGCATTCTAATTCCGTATGTTTCAGAGGCTGATATCTGTGTAACTCAAATCAGAAATATATTAATAATTCCATGAAGATGTTCACTTTCTATATTATACATCGGTGTCTGATGCCTTCAGGATTTAAGTTCCTATGATCAATTTCAGTTTGATATAACATTTTCATGTTCATTATGTTTGCTTTCTAAACCAGGGCCAAACTATGACCTAGTAGGTATTTATGCCAGGCTTGATTCACTCAAATTAACTGCCTGGTCCCTGTAGACATTTCGTGTTTATCACTCTTGCTCTAAAGAAGGGCTTTCCAATGTTTTCTATGCCATGGCACACATACAAAATAACACTTTATTTGTAGAGCCATTGAACTACTGGAAGAAGCTGCTAAGAGAGTGCCCTCAGAGTTCCAGCTGCCCCAGGCCCTGCCCTGCTGCCCCCAGGTTGAGGGGAACAGTATTTCAGCAGACCTGTCGCCAACTGGGGCTATTAGTGGGACAGGTCATCCCAGTTGGGAAGCTCTGCTCTCAACTCTCCCTGTAAAGAGATGGACAGAGCAGGTTTAATACATTTGTTTATTCAATGTGTAGGGTAGTTACACTTCTAGGCAGTAAGACACATCAGTGAACAGGACAGAGTCCCTGCTCCCTAGAAAATAGGCTGCAAGTGGCTAAGTGACCCAGTCAAGTCTACAAGACTCAGGGGGCCAGGGCTAGACACTGTATCCCCAGACGCAACTCATAGTAATTGCCAAAGGAAGAAATGCTAGAGGGTTTATTCTATATAATTATATTTGTCATTCTATAGTGAGGGAAGTGACTACCAAGTTCTCTAACTTAAAAGTTTGTCAATATGTGCTCTGCTAATTTGGAATGTGAGAGAAATTTTCTTGGTTAAAATCTGAACTTGAAATTTCTCTCAGTTAATGAGTATGGTAAAAGAAAGAAAAAAATGATTGTTGGGGTCAGGACATCTCTGATACATGCAGGCTAATCTATTTCTTGTGGGAACTTCAATATCGAATATCTACCATCATCTTTTGGTGTGGATGACATTCCTGCTCACGGCGTGGTAGTAGAAGGGGGAGGTGATAGATTGTCACCAGCATTAACCAGGTGAGAAAGGATCCTGCTATCACTAAGATGAGATAAGCCTGGCAGAAAGCACATTTATACTGTTTAAGAAAGTAAAACTTTAAACCACATGATTGTTAATTACAGAAGCATCTTCAGTTTTCATTAAAACTGGTCCCTAAGGATCTCTACTTGGGAACACTTTGTTAAATGATTTATTCAAATCACTGTATATATTTGAAAATAATAATCTGACTGCATTTATTTATTCAATGATTCAAACTTTTTCCTAATTTTTAAAGTGAGTGGTGATGAATGATAAGATTATATAATTTTTGGGCTTCCCTGGTGGCGCAGTGCTTGAGAGTCCGCCTGCCGATGCAGGAGACGCGGGTTCGTGCCCCGTTTCGGGAAGATCCCACATGCCGCGGAGCGGCTGGGCCCGTGAGCCATGGCCGCTGAGCCTGCGCGTCCGGAGCCTGTGCTCCGCAAATGGGAGAGGCCACAACAGTGAGAGGCCCGCCTAACTCAAGGAAAAAAAAAAAAAAAAAAAAAAAAAAAAAAAAGATTATATAATTTTTACGTATTGAAGGCCTTCTCATATACCTGTGTGTGGGTCCGTGCAGATGCCTGTTTATCTAAGAAGCAATCATTTCTAAACATGATAACAGATGGGCAAATGTAACTACTTTCACTGACCCTGGATTAGGTAGTTCATATTACTTCTATTACATTTTTATAAACCGTAGCAAGTCACTTGCTAGAGAGGGTCAAAGACAGGCATGAAATGTGACTCAAAGCCCTCAAACACTCCAGACTTCATAAAAATTTAGAATTTACCTAAAAATCTCCTCGTTCTTCAACTTACTTTTCAAATATTTAATTGTGATTTTAGTATAGTTATGTTAACTTAGGCTTCCCGCATGTAGATTGGAATTTAATGTGTCATAAATACCTCCAAAAGCTAAGCATCTGGATTAGGTAA